CATCATGCCACCTCATGTGTTTTTCCGTCTTTTCAGAAGCAAACAGTCTTTGTAACCTCGGGATTAAAGGAAAATATGCAAAACTTTTGTTGCTTTCACCTTGAGTCCATCGATTTTGCCAACAGTATACCTAGTTTTATGATAAACATAACAAGAAACGACATCTTTTTAAAATTCCAATACAAACTGCAATCATTCGGGCATGCTTCAATTTTGACATAATCCAAACCCAACTTCTTAACCACCTTCTTAGCAGCATAATGAGATTTTTGTAAGGATATACCTTCCGAAAATGCTTGCCGTAACAACTCAAGTAACATGGTGAAGGATTTTGCAGTCCATCCATTGTGAACCTAGAGGTGATATAAGTGCATCAGTAATGATAGTTTTGAAAATGTCTTGCATCCCAGATATAGCTCCCCATCTGCATATTTTATCAAATCTTCTATTCCACCTGTATCGTACAACGAATCATCCCATGCTTCATCACCATCATTTTCTTCATCACTATCCTCCAAGGCATTTCCATCCTGTTCACAAGCTGGTTCATTATTCACCAGGTCTTCACGGTGAAAAACATCCCGAAATAGCCCCGTCAGATCCGCTCTCATTGTTGTATTTGATTGAATAAGAGTAGATATCCTCTCATTGCCAACATCCAAAACAATCGTCTGTGACGAGGAAGAAGTAGAAACAATACTAGCCTGAGGTGAACATAAAGTTTCTCCACCCTTATATCTTCACATGTTTGTGCATATATATTTGCACAATTGATACAAGGGCACAATATAGTTGCTCCATGCGATGCATTTTGAAATGCATAATCAAGAAAAAGTTATACTCCGTCTTTATATCCTGTGCTCGTTTTATGTTTTTTCATCCAACTCTTGTCCATTTTGTCAGAAACACCTAAAAGAACATTCACATAAAACTCAATGTAACATCAAGCATAAAGCAGTAATAATCAACATATAACTAATTACCAATTCCTTCTTGACATAAAGTAGAACACTCTTTATGGCAGAAAGTGCAAGTAAATCTGCAGCTTAAAATTGGTTCTCCTCATATCAATTATTAGTGCTACTTCATTGTCTGTTATTATTATTTCCATTATTTAGGCAAGATGCAAAGCTTGTAGAGAAGACAACAAACAGGAGAAAACAAGATTAACAAGGAGACTAACAAACACCAAAATCTCAATACAGAACCCAGTTTTGTTTAACATGGAATAAGACAAATGCTTACATAGAGGAGACTTAGTAGAGAAAATGGAGTGAATTCAGCCAAACGTGAAATGGGTTAGCGGATAAACTGAAAGTGTGGATGTCGACGAGATCTCGGAAGCTCCTGTAGCTCTTGGTCTGAATCGCCGGAGGAATTGATGGAGAACAAAGACTCGATGTCCTCTACTTTGGACTCATCCACTGATGCTTCCATGGTGGCGGCGGATAGCCTGGCGGCTAGTTTAGAAATTTGTCTGGTGGAGTGTTTGATTGAACTGGGAATGGTCGTTCTAATCCGTCTATATCTCTTTCGCTCCGGTGGCGGGGCTTTGCTCAACGAACAGGGACCGAAAAGAAGAAGAAAATTGAATTGTTTACTTTCAATTTTTAATTATTGTCTTTGGTTTGTTTGGGAAAGAACCAAAACCAGAATTAGTAAAGAGGGATTTCCAGAAGCAATGATAGAGGAAAGAGCTGTGGTTGTGTTTAGTTTAAGGCTAGCAAGGGTTACCGAACCGTTGCTACATTAGATTCTGAAAATCCTAGCAGCGGTTCCTTAACACTTGCTATGGAACCATTGGCAAATGTTATTTTCCTTGTAATGTCATAAACCCCGCCAAATTATATAGAATCTTAAATATTACTGATTATTGTCTAGCTACTGTGCACAAGTCCAATGTTCTATTATGCTCCTTCTAAAGTCCTTTATTGAAATTATTCTCATTTGAACCTAAATCACTATTACAAGTAATCTTGTTGGCCTTCAAGAATCCCATCGATGCCTATTATTTTCGGCCCTAACTACAAGGAATTGAGGATGATCGTAATCGGTTAGTCAGTTAACTGTTTAATCGTCAGTTACGAACCATTTAACCAACGGTTAGTAATTAGCCAAATTTTGTTATCGAAAACCGACCATTTACTATTGGGCAAATACCACTACAACACCTGAACTATTGATAAAATGCCACTTGTGTCATATTCTTTTCAATATTCCATTTCTGTCCCGAACTATTATTTCCGTTAACTTTATCAACTTTGACTGTTAGAAGTCAACGTTCAATCCATTGACTGCTGACGTGTCATCAGAGCTAGATTTTTTAACATTATAAAAATCATTAAAATAAAGATTATTTTAAACAAAAAATAAATATTGACTCCCAGAGCCGGAGTCGATGTTCCCTTGCCACCGCAATCAACAACCTTCCTAAGGCTACCCTCTATGTAGGAAAAAATCCCAAAGTACACACGTTCTTAAAAAAAATTCCCAAAATACATAAGTTATAAAAAAATTTCCAAAAGTACACATGTTTGAGCATCACCGTTTTTGACAAAGGCGGTGAAGATAATCACCGCGTTAGTCAAAGACGGTGAATATTTCACCGTTTAAAACCAAAACGGTGACGTATTCACCGCCTTTATCTAAAACGGTGATGTATTCACCGCGTTTGTGGAAGACGGTGAATACATCACCGTTTTTCTTGACAACGGTGATTACCTTCACCGTTTGAGGGTGATCGTCATTTCCCCCTCCGGAAGGTGGAACGTATGGGTTTCGGGACGCCATCGTTCCGCCATTGCCGTAAGCAGATCGTTGTCGATTTTGATCCGCAAGAAATGGCGCAACATTCCCAAACCTGTCCTCGCTATATAGGGCTCCAACCTTGGATGCCAAGCGGGCAAGTTATTGGTCCCTTTATGAACCACGGGAACAAGCGATTCCTAAAAAAAATAGGGAAAACAACAATTTATTAGATTAAATAAAGCAAAATAAAACCTTAGAAAATAATAAAATAAAGCAAGAATACTCAAAAAATTACCGAATTGTTATCCCAAATAGCACGGGAGCGATGAGCTACTTGATCGGTTAAGAGACTCGCATCCCTTGGGCCATAATGGATATACAATCGAGGATCGTATATCTCGGCACCCATCTATAAAAAAGTAATGAAATCAGAGATTGTTTTGATAAAAATAAAACAAAAAATCATATTATTTCGATTAAAAAAAATTCATAAACAAAAAACCTACACGAAGAGCCTCTTCGTCCATTTTTTGGCGTAGGCCGGACAGAGGTTCGACGAGTTTAGGTTTGAGCGGGACGGGAACTTAGCGGGACGGGGGCTTTAGGGTCAAACTCTACTAATTCTTTCTGATGTGGAAGATCGGACTTAGCCGCAACCACAGAGCATACTTAGAACGAGACTAGAGCGGATAAATTGAGGGAGAAAGAAGTGAAATGTTTGTGGGGTGAGTTGAAAGTGAAAGGGGAAGGGGGTATTTATAGTTGGGGGAAGGGGGAAGGGATCTGCTGAGAATTAAATTCTCCCAGTCTTCACCGCGTCTAACAGAAACGGTGAAGTCACCGCGTTTCTCGAGGACGGTGATAAGGCGCGGATCGAGCGACGTGGCTCAGCGTGAGGCGTCGGATCTGGAAAGAAAACCACGATTCGCGCCTCACCGTATCCAACGGCCACGGTGAACGCGCCAGCGACGCGGATCGCTGACGCAAACAAACACGGGGTATTCACCGTGTTTGTCCAACGCGGTGAATACCCCGCGTTAGTCCACGTCAGCGCCTTCACCGTGGACCACTTAAACGGTGAAGGCTTCACCGTTTTTGCCTAAAACGGTGAAGTATTCACCGTCTCTATTTAAAACGGTGATTCCTTCACCGTTTTATACAAAAACGGTGAATACTTCACCGTTGTTTTTTAGAACGGTGAAATATTCACCGTCTTTGACAAACGCGGTGATAACCTTCACCGCTTTTGTCAAACACGGTGATGCCCAAACATGTGTACTTTTGGAATTTTTTTTATAACTTATGTATTTTGGGAATTTTTTTTAAAAACTAGTGTACTTTGGGATTTTTTCCCGCTATGTAATCATTGCATTAATTTTTCGATTTGGAGCGTGCTGATTGGAGCAACGTCGCGGCCGAAGAAGCATAGATCTGGACCTCTCTCTAATGGAAGATGAATCGTCCGGTGATTGGAGCTACGTCGCAGCTGAAGAAGCTGAATCGCCCATTGATGAGTAGAACTCGACTCCTCGATTTGGAAGAAATAGAACAGGTGCGTTGTGTTCCCAGATCTTATCATCGTCGGCACGAATTTTCTTAGAGGCGAGGATGGTTCGCCGATCGCTCTGTCGTGGACAGAGAACGGAGAGGCCAGGGGATTGTTTTTTAATTTTGAGATTATTTTAAAATTTTTTATTATTTTTTAATTAAAAATATGACATGACATCGACGTGTCTGTCATGTTGCTGCCACGTCGGTCCCAATCTGATGTTGTTTTCAAAACCGTCTGGTCAACCGTTATATCTAAAGGTCAACGAAATCATCAGGATACAAATGACAGAAAGTTTCATAATTCAGGACACGAATGGAATATTTGATACAATAGGATACAAATGACAATTTTTTTGATAGTTCGGATGTTGTAGTGATATTTGCTCTTTACTATTTAATCCGTTATCAATATAACGTTAACCAACTGGTACCGATTCGATTATCTATGACAGTTAACAAGATAAGCATACGCCAGCTGAATCTTGTATTATGTTTAATAGATCATTCCCCATAAAACTCTTGCGCAGCCAAAAAAAAAATTGCTTAATAGTTAATACATCTCAACGTCAAAGAAAATGGATTGGGCCTAAAGAGGCCTAAACTCACTGGGCCATTATGAGGGTGGCTATATTCGCAAAAGAGAGGACGAAGCAGGCATGGCCCATTTCGATCCGAATTCCGACCTGATCGGCTGATCGCCACTGATATTCCGATCTCTTGTGCGCATTCCCTTCTGCAAGTACCGCCGGTTGCGAAGACGCAAAACGTCGGCGAAGCGCAGAGAGAGTTTCAAAGCGCAATCCTCTCGGCTCCATAGTCACAACTCAATACCGATGTGGACCCCCAGCGAATCTCCGATCAAAGCTACTCCCTTGGCTCGCATCTTCTACGGTTGGCCTCCGGAGACTGCCACCGACCTGCCGCCGGGAACGAGCAGAGAGAGGCGAGATTCCGCTCCACAATCGGCGCCCTATTAGTTAAGGTACTTCGGTTCTTAATTTCAAATTAATTAATGGGAAGCTTTTACTCTTGGCCGGACATATTGCTAATAAATTGTAGCAAGTAGTAACGCACTTGCTCATTCAATCAGTCGGTCAAGCAACTGAAACTTTTTAGAATTTCCAGAATCTTGAATGCCAGTTATGATCGTAGAAATGGTAACTTAAGAAGTCCGATCAAGTTCCTTATAACGTATCATATATATAGAGGAAAGAAAGATGGGTAGATCACCGTCCGCAGTAATCTTAGCAGCCACTAGATACCCTCAATGGTTTTCCTTCTCCCTTTAGCTATGGCTGCCAATGTTGTGAGATCAACGCTGAACAACTTATGCTGGTTTGTGGTTTTGGCCCTAGCCCTGCACCATTGCTTCAGTTTGGTAGCCATTGCCCAGCAAGTCCCATGCTTCTTCATATTTGGGGACTCTCTGGTGGACAATGGGAACAACAACCACATTAAAACTTTGGCCAGAGCCGATTACCCGCCTTATGGGATAGACTTCCCCGGCGGCCCTTCTGGCAGATTCTCCAACGGCAAAACCACCGTTGATGTAGTTGGTATGGTTTTAACTTATGAGATAGATCATATTTGTGCCCGACTTATGAGGTAGATCATATTGGTACAGTTTAAAAATTTAGTAACTTCCAGCTTCTGTGATTTTGGTTTTACGCAGCTGAGCTACTGGGATTCGACAATTACATCCCTCCCTATACTGTTGCCAGCGGGGAGGGGATACTGAAGGGAGTGAATTACGCATCTGCAGCTGCTGGCATTCGGGAGGAGACTGGGCAGCAACTGGGAGGCAGGATAAGCTTCAGTGGTCAAGTGAGGAACTATAAGAACACAGTGTCCGGGATTGTTAACTTGCTTGGAGATGAAGACACAGCGGCTAAGCACTTGAGCAAGTGCATTTACTCGGTTGGGTTAGGGAGCAATGACTATCTCAACAACTACTTCATGCCATTGATTTACTCTACTTCTAGGCAGTTCACCCCGGAGCAGTATGCTGATGACCTCATTCAGAGATATACTCAGCAACTCAAGGTCAATAACATTCCAAATTTTATCTTACTGCTACCAAACTATAGTCACGCCTTCGATGGTGAATCCGATGTTTTTTTTATATTTCCTGTTGGTTGCAGATTATGTATAGCTATGGTGCGAGGAAGTTTGTGTTGAATGGAGTGGGACAGATAGGGTGCAGCCCAAGTGAATTGGCTCGAAATAGTCCGAACGGGAGGACTTGCGTGCAGAATGTCAACACTGCGATTCGTACCTTCAACTACAAGCTAAAATTGCTAGTTGATCAGTTGAACCGCGACACCCCTGATGCCAAGCTAATCTACGTCGATACCTATGGGATTTTCCAGGAACTGCTCAACAACCCAGTAGCCCACGGTAATAAAAGAACATATCAAAGCAGAAACCCCAGAGGGCCCTTACTCCACTGTACCACAAGCTACAGAAACAGAGTAGTGAATTTGTTGTTTTGGTTTTGATGTTTCTTTCAGGGTTCAGAGTGAAGAATGCAGGGTGCTGTGGGGTTGGGAGGAACAACGGTCTAATTACATGTCTGCCGTTCCAAATTCCATGCCAGAATAGGAACCAGTACTTGTTCTGGGATGCATTCCACCCGACGGAGGCCGCCAACGCATATGTAGGAAAGAGGTCTTATATCGCACAGTCTCCCAGTGATGCTCATCCCTACGACATTCGCCGGCTTGCTGAGCTCTGATAAGATTCTGGAAATGGAGATTAGATCAGATGAGGTCATCCTTTGTCCTTTTAGCAGCCTCACATGATGTTCAAAGTTTTGGCAGTCAGTTCTTATCCATATTTCCCTGAGTGCTACTTCTGATATGTGGTACTTTTGAATTCAGATTGAATAATCTCCCTTGTTAGGCCTTCAGATCTTTCTTTTTCTTGGAACCTTAGAGATAATTTAGGACGGTAAAACAACTCTTTGATACTAAACCAATCCCAAACTAGTTTTACCCTCTATTTACATGATCATGCTGGATGTCAAACTGTTCAATGGTTGTTGTTCCCGTTCGTTGTCATTTATAGAGCATTTCATGCCTGTGAATTCTTTTTTAATGAATGAGCATTTCATTTCATCAAGATAAGCAGGGCAATCGCAAAAGCCTATTCAAATGTCTACAACAATATTAAGACATATACAATCAAGATGCTCCCTATTACAGCACAACCAAAACCTGCTACCTCCAAGTCCAACGACAACAAAAAAAACCTTACAACTACTTCCTATTACAATGCTATCTAGCAGTAATTCTCTGTATTTTCAGAATCCCTAGCCTGAAACCAAAGCGGCTTGATCTGGCAGACTGCTGCTAATTCAAGACAAGCTACACATTTAAGCTCTATCATCCTCTTGATTTTCAAAAACAGGGCGTCCTCATTTAGAGTGACACCAACATACACTCTCCTGCACCTATCATGCTGTTGATGTGACTTGAATCAGACTATCAGCTGCTACGACTAGAAGTCACGGTTGTAACCGCTTTTCCTTTATCAGATTGGATTAGGGTTCAACCTAGCAGAAGTACTATAAAATATAAATACTTCTCATACTCCTCTGTAATTTATATCTTTTCGAAGTATAGTGAACATGGATCTCTTCTGCCCGTGGACTAGTTAACACAATTGTGTTAGTAACCACTTAAATCGTGTGTCGTGTGTGTGCGCTTTCGTTTCTTGCATTGTCGAATCCTCCTATTTCCCGATCCGCAGAAAACAGCCGTGACAAGTCCTGATGACATTATCATTGAAGTTGTTGCTGAGAAGACTGTGGCGGGCTTGTGGTTGAAGCTGAAGAGTCTATATATGACGAAGTCCCTAACCAACAAGCTGCATCTCAAGCAACGGTTGTTTAGCTTGAGGATGCAAGAAGGTACGCATTTGAGAGAACATCTAGAACAACTTCATTATATTTTGTTGGATTGAAGCAATATAGATGTGAAAGTTGATGATGAAGATGCTATCCTAATCATGCTTGTTTCTTTGCCGAATTTATATAAGAATTTCGTGGATTCTTTTATTTCTAGTAAAGATAGCTTGTCGTTGGAGGATTTCAGATCTGCTCTTCACACGAGAGAGATCAGACATAAGGCGTCCGGATCTGGTACAGATGGTGAAGCATCGGGGTTGGCTGTTACAGGTGGAAAGACAAAGAAGAAATCTGGTAAAGTGAATTCGAACAAAAATTCAAATTATAAGGGTCCCGATCCACAGTCAAACGATGTCTGTCACATTTGTAAGGAAGTGGGGGCATTGGAAGTACAACTGTCCCAGAAATAGAGGACATTAGAAGAACCAAGGTTCTGTTGCCGTGGCAAAAGTAGACAACAGTTCTGAAGACGATCTCGCCTTGGGTGTAGATCAGAAGACACATCGTGACGATGTGTGATTTCTGGATACTGCAGCCTCATATCATATGTCTCCAAATAAGGAATGCTTCTGAACCTAGAAGTATATAAATAGTGGTAACATGGTTATGACGAATGGAGATGTCTGCAAGGTGGTTGGAATCCAGTCTATCAAGATTCGGACTCATGATGGTTCGTTCTGCACCGTGAACAAAGTCAGACATGTTCCACATATGACGAAGAATCTGATCTCCTTGAGTCTTCTCGATAATTAGGGCCTCAATTTCAAGAGCAGTGGTGGAGTTGTGTATGTATGCAAAGGTTCAAGGAAGGTGCTAAAGGGCGTGAAGCATGGGACCTTGTATGCATTACAAGGGTCTGTGTTGTCTGGTTCTGCTGTAGTTGCATCAAGGTTCATCAGGAAGATATGACCACTCTTTGACACATGAGATTGGGTCATATGAGTGAATGAGGGATGCAAGTTCTATGGAAGAGAGATATTCTTTGTGGGCACAAGGTGCAGAATCTGGAATTCTTCAAGCACTATGTGTTTGGGAAGATACATCGCAACAAGTTTCCTAAGAATGTTATCTACCGGACGAAGGGGATATTGGATTACCTCCACTCCGACTGTTGGGGTCCTTCACGAGTTGAATCCATTGGAGGCAACATGTATTTTCTGTATATTATTGATGATTACTCAAGGTTTACTTGGATTTTCATGATGAAGCAGAAAAGTGAAGCCTTCACGAAATTCAAGCAGTGGGAGACCTTGGTGGAGAATCAGACCGGGAAGAAGATCAAGAGACTTCAAAACGGACAATGGTCTGGAGTTCTGCAGTTTCGAGTTCAACGAATTCTGCAAGGATGAAAGGATTGCCATCATCAAATCGTTAGAGACACACCACAGCAGAATAGCGTTGCAGAAGGGATGAACTAGACATTGTTGGAGAGAGCAAGGTGCATGCTCTCTAATGCTGGTATGGAGAGGAGGTTCTGGGGAGAAGCAGTAAACATGACGTGCTATCTCATCAACCGTGGACCTCACATAGGTATTGAGTGTAAAACTCCTTATGAGGTGTGGTATGGTAATCCTGTTGACTACTCTTCATTGAAAGTTTTTGGTTGTCCTGTTTACTATCATGTGGATGAGGGTAAGCTGAATCCAAGAGCAAATAAGTGTGTGTTTGTGGATTTTGGAGATGGAGTTAAGGGATTTTGACTCTGGTCACCTTCTAAGAGTAGAGTTATACTTAGCAGGAATGTGATATTTGATGAGAAGTCTATGTTTAACCTCATGTTTAAGGTTAATGTTGTTGGAGATAGTAGGAATGTTGATAAACAGGTGGAGTTGCAAACTCTTAAAGAGAATGAGTTTGAGCATTAAGGTGGAGAAGATCAACATGAAGATGTTTCTGATGAACTAGAAACTTCAAAGTCTAGTGCAGGAGCTCAACAGTCTATAGCTGCCGGTAGACCAAAGAGAGTGACTGCAGGAGTACCACCACAGAGGCATGGCTTCGAGGACATGGTGGCATATGTTTTTCAGGTGGCTGAAGAGGTAGATGAGTGTGAACCACAGTCCTACATAGAAGCAGTTTACTGTGGTGAAGCCACTCAGTGGCTAGCTGCAATGGGGGACGAGATGGAATCCCACGTCAGGAATCAAACTTGGGAGTTGGTCAAACGTCCATAGGGAAGGAAGATTGTTACAAACAAGTGGATCTACAAGAAGAATGAAGGAATCAATTAAAGAGGGCATTAAATTTAAAGCTCTGGTAGTTTCAAGAGGCTTCTCGCAAAGGGAAGAAGTTGACTACAATGAGATTTTCTCACCAGTGGTAAGACACACTTCGATCACAGTGTTACTAGTGATAGTGGCACATTGCGACTTGGAGCTCGAGCAGCTAGACGTGAAGACAACTTTCCTACATGGCGAGTTGGAGGAGGAAATTTACATAACTGAACCAGAGGAATTACAGGTTCCAGGAAAAGAAGACTATGTTTGTAAGCTGAATAAATTTTGTAAGGACTTAAGCAATATTCGAGGCAGTGGTACAAGAGTTTTGACAGCTACATGTTTGAGCTAGGCTAAAACAGGCGTCCCTATGATTGTTGTATATATCACAGCAAAGCAACGGATAGTTCGATGATATATCTGGTTTTGTATGTGGATGATATGCTCATAACTACGAGGTCGAAGTCTAATATCCAAAAGTTAAAGTGACTTCTCAGTGCTGAGTTTGAGATGAAGAATGTGGGAGATGCTCAGAAGATTTTGGGTATGGATATTTACAAGGATAGAGAAGAAGCTTTTCTTGTCACAGAAGAGCTACATCCAGAAAGTATTGTCCGGGTTTGGCATGTCTTCAGCAAAGTCCTTGAATACTCCTAGTGCTTCGAATGTTCATCTATTCTCAGTTTATGCACCGCAGTCAGAGGTCAAGAAGTAGTACATGTCGAGAGTCCCATATGCTAGTGCAGTTGGTAGTTTGATGTACGTTATGGTATGCACTATACCTGATCTTGCACATGCTGTTAGTGTGGTCAACATGTTTATGATACAACATGGGAAGGAGCTAGCATTAGCAGGCTTTGAAGAGGATCTCCCGGTACCTTAATGGTACTTCTGATATGGGGATTAGCTTCGAAAGTGATACAGAGTGCTTAGTGGTTGGTTACTGACTATGCTGAAGATGTTGACATGAGAAGATCAATGGCGAGTTATGTATTCACTCTTGGGAGTTCTGTAGTGAGCTGGAAGGAAACGCTGTAGTCGACAGTGACATCGTTTACTACTGAAGCAGAGTACATGGCGTTGATAGAAGCTGCTAAGAAGGGAATATGGTTGAAGGGGCTGGTTGGTGATTTTTTTTTTTGCCAAGGCAATTCCTAAGAGCATGGACAAAGACTCGACACGATTACAAGACTGACACAAACGGTATGCGTTAATCCGTATGCCGGGTGTCCAGTATCAAGTTGTCACAAAAAAGCCACAACAAAGAAAAGAAAAAGACATTAGCAATCTTTGACAAAGCATGCTTAATTACTCTCATTAATTTGTAAAAACGAATTAAATCGAACATCACCTTATAGATCGATGAGACTTATTTCACTTCCTTAAATTCTTTCATATGATATGATCACCTAAAAAATGAAAAAAAAAGCACGAATATGGTGCTAGAAATCTCTATCACAAGAGATTAAATCTTGCTCCTGAGGCAAAGTCGATCTTGTCGAAAATACACCACCAACGGTATTATTCAACGCTTGCAAGTGCAGTACACTCACAATCAACGACGGTTGTCCAAAATTAGGAAAAATAAAGCCTGCTTTAACTAACAAAACTAAATAAATTAGTGATATTAATGGCTACTCCAAACCCAAATTAGGGTTGAAAAACTAGGAAAGTATTACTCACCTCAGCACACCGTATTAAGTGAATGGACAAAGATATATCAAAATAGAAAATTTGTATAACAACAAATAAAGGGGAAAGTAAATGGACCCACTTAATATGGAAACTTTGATTGTTGAACAATAATGATAAAGCAAATAAAAGGATAGTAACTAGCAAAGTCAACAAAAAATTCGAATTAGCAATAATTAAAAGAGTAAATAAATTAGTAAAAAAGATTCCATATCTTACCTCAATGTAAACGAACAAATGAGACATCACCGGAGGAATGGAATTAAATTAAAATGTAAATTTTCATATATG